TCAATTTCCCAGCCTTAAGCTGCGGCGTTTCTTAATACAGTATTATTTTAATATCACTTTTGTTTTGTGCAATTCATTGAAGTATTTCAACTTGAGTTCGGCGATTTCGGGTAAATTTTTTAATAATGACGAGTATCGAAGTCTGATTAGTGAAGTGCTGCACTACATTCAACATATTCAACTATTTTTAGACATATTGCTATGTTACCGAACGATAAATTTCTTTTGAAATTTTCAAAACGGCCTCAAAATGTAATGTTCTAAAACTTTCTTTTGAATAGTGAATGTTTTGCATCAACTTACCTTAATTTACCCATTTAAAAGATTTTCTTCAGACGGTTTATGTTTCATTTTTTTTTTCAAATCGTCGCCCTAAAGACTACGTCACTGGCTTTTGAAAAACGTGTTATCGATATGTTAAATACCATCACACAACTACATTCAAAAAATCAGACGTATTACTATGATATACTACGGTAAAATTTTTTGACATAGACCTGAGCTGATGGAATAATAAAATCCAATGGAACCAGGAGGTGGAGAGTAGAGTTCTTCAACGGTTACTAGCATACTCCCTGAGTATGGACTTAAAATTCGTTTAAACATGTCTGTATGACGTACGTACGCACAATCGAGTTTATAAACTACGTATGATTATTACTGAGTAGGGATGGCAAAATAAAAAATTATATCGATATATCGATACATTCGATATATCTAATAAAAAATATCGATATTTTGAATATATCGATATATTCTTAATGAAATGAAAATTTTGTAATAGTCAAAATGCGATTTGTTTAATCGTAATAAAACATAAAAAACAAATTAATTTTTTTTAAATATAGGTACCACAACAAGAATTTCATATTTTAAAAAATATAGACGAGCCAAACTTACTGGAACTTTAACTATTTATATAAAAGTGTTGATGATACTATTTGAAAGCTCACTAGAAAAGAACTCAAAAATAATAATTTAGACACTCTTTGGCAATTTAATTAAAAATCCACATGGTCCGGTGTAAGATTTGAAGTCCCTGAACCACAAACTTGCCTATAAATGAATATAAGCGCGTTAGACAGCTACGCCACCGACCCGATATACGTTTTAATAACCACTCTGGACTCTGAAAACCGAAAATAAAACTGAAATTATGCAAATTCATACAACAAATCAAACACAACAAATAAAACAAAAAGCCACGCGAATGCCCTGACGTTGTAGCTGCCAGCGTCAACCAATGTCGCATGCGCACGAGCGCACTCTTAATTAATAATGTTTTCGAGATATCGAAAAGATTATATCGATATTTTTTTAATATATCGGTAGTTAAATATCGATTACAATTTCGAACACGTTTAAAATTTTATTGTCAGACCAAACGAGATAAGTCATTTTGGCGAATGGACACTTTTTGTCGAAGCATCGAATTCTACATTTCAGAAAATTTGACGAAAAGCCATTTTTCTATAAGAAAGATGCCTGGTCCTTTATGAGGAATAAAATCTAATGTGTCCAACACATAATTTTCCTGTCTAGTTATTATATGCTTTTTACGGTTATTTTGTACAAACTATTGTATACCTCTGTAAATGTTTAGAGGATAGACTAAATATTGTATATGTATTTTCCACATACATCTTACTCGAAACATTTTTTATATATATTCATTGCCAACGAAAATACTGAAAAATTCTAATTTTACACTTTTCCTTAAATTTTTCCATTACGGTCCATTTTAGAGAAATCATGTATAAAACAAAAATTATAGAGATCGATATCAAAAACAACTTTTAGTTTAACAATTTTCTTTAAAATTAGAATTTTGCACTTTTTGTAAAATTTCTCGAAACTTTTATTTGATGAATGTTTTTCCTTAAACGTAAATAACAGATTTATTCCTAAAAATATAAAAACGACCTTCTACCAAATACCTTCCTAGATGTTCAGACTCTGCCCAAAATCTAATGAGTTTACCGCAGGCCGGAATAAAGCTTAAATTTAAAATTTGGTGTTTTTCTCTTTATTCGTTTTTGAGTTTTCTTCAAAATTCGAAATTTACACCTTGTCTCAAAAATCTCGAATACGGTATATTTTAGAGAAATTATGTATTTGACAAGAAATATAGATAATCATATCACAAACATTTTTTATTTAAATAATTTTCTTGGAGATTTTAATTTTTTACATTTTATCAAATTTCTCGAATACGGACCATTTTAGGAAAATTTTGAATAAGGCAAAAATTATAGAAAATAATATAAGAAGTAACTTTCATTTGAAGAATTTTCTTCTTTAAATGTAAATAACAGATATATTTCGTAAAATATAAAAACGCCCCCTTTATAAAGTACCCTCCCAGATGTTCCGACAATGCCCAAAAACTAATGAGTTCACCGCAGGCCGGAAAAAAGTTTAAGTTTAAAATTTGGTGTTTTTGTCATTTTCCATTTTTGAGTTTTCTTCAAAATTCGAAAATTAAACTTTTTCTCAAATTTCTCGAGTACGGTCCATTTTAGAGAAATTTTGTATAGGAAAGGAATTATAGAAAACTAGCTATTGCCCGCGCTTTGCTCGCGACTTTGCTCGCATATTGTCGGGTTATTAATTAAAAAAAATACATGACTTCCTTTTTTATTAATTTTTATTAGTTTTATCGATTTTCATTCATTTTTTTAATTTTTTTATATTTATTCATTTTTATTCGTTTTTATTCATTTTTATTCATTTTTATTCATTTTTATTCATTTTTATTGATTTTTATTCATTTTTATTAATTTTTAATAATTTTTATTAATTTTTATTAACTTTTATTAATTTTTATTAATTTTTATTAATTTTTATGAATTTTTATGAATTTTTATTAATTTTTATTAATTTTTATTAATTTTTATTAATTTTTATTAATTTTTATGAATTTTTATTAATTTTTATTAATTTTTATTAATTTTTATTAATTGTTATTAAATTTTATTAATTTTTATTAATTGTTATTAATTTTTATTAATTGTTATTAATGTTATTAATTCTTATTAATTCTTATTAATTCTTATTAATTCTTATTAATTCTTATTAATTCTTATTAATTCTTATTAATTCTTATTAATTCTTATTAATTCTTATTAATTCTTATTAATTCTTATTAATTCTTATTAATTCTTATTAATTCTTATTAATTCTTATTAATTCTTATTAATTCTTATTAATTCTTATTAATTCTTATTAATTCTTATTAATTCTTATTAATTCTTATTAATTCTTATTAATTCTTATTAATTCTTATTAATTCTTATTAATTCTTATTAATTCTTATTAATTCTTATTAATTCTTATTAATTTTTATTAATTTTTGTTAATTTTTATTTATTTTTAATAATTTTTATTAATTTTCACCCCCGTTTCCCCCCCTTAAAATGTGAAAATCCAAAAACCATGAAACACGTTATTATTAATTTGTACTCATTAGCTGCAATTCCAATTTTCATATTTCTAACTTCAAAGAGAACAAAAAAAGTTATACTCCCACACAAACTTTTGCCCCCGTTTGCCCCCCTCAAGATGTAAAAATATAAAAACCCTAAAACACATTATTGTTAATTTGTACTCAGTAGCTGCAATTCCAATTTACATGTTTTTAACTTTGAAGAGAACCAAAAACCTGGATACTCCCAAATAAATTTTTACCCCCATTTTCCCCCCTTAAAATGTGAAAATCCAAAAACCCTGAAACACGTCATTAATAATTTGTAGTCAGTAGCTGCAATTCCAATTTTCATGTTTCTAACTTAATAGAGAACAAAAAAATCGATAGTCCCTTACAAACTTTCACCCCCCGTTTTCCCCTCTTAAAATGTAAAAAATCCAAAAACCCTGAAACATGTCATTATTTATTTATGCTCAGTAGCTGTAATTTAAATTTTCATGTTTCTAACTTTAAAGAACAAAGAGTTTCATTAAAAGCTCCCTCCCCCCATTTAAAGTTCAAATTTCCAAAAAACCTTTCTTAGCGGATGCGTACGTTATATAATAAACCTATGTTCCAAATTTCAGCTTTCTAGGCTCAGTAGTTTTGGCCGTACGCTGATAGGTCAGTCAGTCAGTCAGTCAGTCAGTCAGTCAGTCAGTCAGTCAGGACAAACAATTTTATATATATAGATGATATAGCAAACAACTTTTATTTGAACAATTTTCTTAAAAATTCCTATATTTTACTTATCTGTATTCAGAAGAAAAGTAAACAAAATGGTTAATGCCGGGCAAAACGGGGTAAACTGTCAGGCAAAATGTTGGTTGCATTTAATTTTTTTTTATTATAGTTAAACACTTGAAATTGTATTTCCACATAAAACGGAAACATTTTCAAGTTTAAACAAGTTTAAAAAAGAAGGTTATTTAAATTCGGTTAAATTATTAAAATTGTATTGCCGTCACCTTTAAAATAAAATTTAATGCCTTGCAAAATGGGACAAATTTAAAAAAAAATGTTACGCGAAAAAAAATAAAATAGTTAAAATTTTATTATCAGATAAAACGAGAAGTTACATATTTTACAGTTCCAACTTACTTCCAATATCGAAATAAATCCGGACAAGTTTCGCTTACTACTCAGTATTCAGTTATCAACAGATTTTCTGCTGTGCAAACAGGCCAATTTGTAGTAGAAATTTCGCCTCAAATAACTATTAAAGTGTAACAATTATGTAATAATTAGTTTATTCTATTTACCATAGGCAGCGCCGCGGGAGCAATGCTATTTAAAATTAAAGCACCGGTTTCGTTTATCTAACAAGCAAACCCTAAAGGGCCCATTAAAAACTATTTTCGGTGTTGTATCTGATTTTGCGGTTTTCAGAAAAGTGAGAATAGTTCGTTTCCCGGGTCTACTCCTCTTGTGCGCTAATGTTAGAAATTTACAAACAAATAGGTGCTCTTTGACACCAAAAAAATTAGTAAAAATATATTTATTCAGAAATTTCGAAGTCGGTATTTCAGTGTCACTCGGGATCTGGTGTAGGGCCAGTACTACTAAGTAGTACTTTAACATTTAATTAATTAGTTTAAGAAATTCGAAAAGTTTTCACGGCAGGATGGCAGCTATAGACACGATTATGCATACTTTCATGGGCAACTTTACAGGTGAGATATTAGAGTGTACATAGTGAAGTTTAATGTGATCTTATATTGATTATAAAATGAAAAGGTAAGCTAAAAACGTGAAAAGATTTAAAACACGTGTCATTATTTATTATTTGATACCTTTTATTCGCTACATGGGCAAAATGCATTGCATGTTATATTTTTTATAAGTAGGGATACATTTCCTATTACGAATTACTGTTTACATGATTTAAATTAATAACAAATGATTAGTATTCAAATTGAAAATTATTTTGTATTTTTTTAATGAAGCGACAGTAACCTAAGCCATAAAAATCGATTTTTCGAAGTTTGCGTTAATAAAGTTTTACGGATTATTTAACAGTGTGAAAATAAAGTGCTAATAACTTCTGTACGGTAAAATATTCGAGAAAATACTCGGCCTTATCGATTTTTTAACTTTGATGAAAGCCCATTTCTACTATAAAAAAATCAGGGTTCGAAAATATCATGATATTTATATAAATATCATATTACATGATATACAGGGTGTCTGTAAAAGGTCTTTACAAACACATACCACATATTCCTTAGACCAACATAAGTCGATTTAAGTAAAATTACCTTAGTACAAAGTTGCTTCGTTTGGGCTCCAGAGGGCCTTGAAGTTACAATTTTTAAATCGTTTTTCCCATATAAATTTAAAACGGCATATGCGATTTTGCTGAAATTTGGTATATTGGTAGAGTTTTATGTGAAAAAAAAAATGGTATTAAAATTTTGTCCGATAATAATACATAGGCGTAGAACTTGATTTTTTAAATAATTGCACCTTTAAAAAATCTACGCCAATGGAAGAAAAGGAGTTTGAGTTTGAAATTTAGAATGCGCAACTCATTTACTTTAAAAAAGGTACTCTTGATAAGACTCGATTACTCTCATGGTTTTCGCTAAATTTCTGTTTTAATAATTTAGAGTGTATAGGTTTCACAAAAATATTTATTTACAACATAATCAAAATAGAGATTTTACAAAAATTGTTCAAAATGTTCACCATTTTCACGCATACAAAGATTTATACGTGGAAGAAAATTAAAATGTAACCTTTCCATAACTTCTTCATCGCCTCTAAGATTGTTTATTGCATCTTGAATACGTTGCCAGAGTTGTTCCTCATTTTCTACAGGTTCCCTGTAAACTGTGGATTTCAGATGTCCCCATAAAAAGTAATCCATCGGTGTTAGGTCTGGGGAACGTGGTGGCCAGTTTACAGGTGCGTCATTACCTCTGCCTATCCATTTGTGTGGATATTGTTCATTCAAGTGGTTTCTAACGTTTAAAGAAAAATGTGGTGGAGCTCCATCTTGCATAAACCACATATCTCTCCGAAGTTGGAGAGGTAAATCTTCTAACAATTCTGGCAACGTATTTTGTAGAAAATCCAAATAATTTTCTCCAGTTAATCTTCGTGGAAGTATGTATGACAGGACCAACAATGAAATTACCAATTATTCCACACATTAATTTTGAATTCGTGCTGAAAATGGTTTACCTTTATTGCATGCGGATTTTCAACGGCATAAACATGTTCATTATGGGTATTAGTTATACCTCTTCTTGTAAAACCCGCTTCATCGGTAATGAGAACCTTCTTGACACAGTTTGGATCTCTTTCTCTTTGCATATTAACAAATCGACAAAAACCCAAACGAATTTGAGGATCATGGACTAATAATTCTTGTACTGGCTTCTTATGGTATGGATATAGCAATTGTTCTCCAAGCACTTTATGAACGACATCTTTACTTACTCCTAGTTCCCGTCCAATTCGTCTGGTGCTTAATTCTGGATCTTCTTCAACACGTTCTAAAATGTCTTCTTCAACTTCAGGAATCCTTACAAAACGTTCTCTTCCATTATCAACAGTGTTGGGAGCAAAGGAACCGGTCTCCCGAAGACGTCTCTTAACAGCAGCAAAAGTTGGGTAGCTAGGTACACGACGATTTGGAAACTTTTCAGAGTACACCCTGACACTCTCTCGAGCATTTCCTTCACAAAATCCTAATGTCAGTAACATATCGGTATATTCTGCATTGGTATATTGTACAGCCATATTAATAAACCACGCATTTGTTTTTTTAATTATTGAGTCAGATAGAACACTTTCAATCGTTAACAAGAGTTTAGGTGTTAAAACTTGACAATATTTTTATTTAGATGAAACTATGGAAACCAACAATAAATGTTTTTGTATACGTATTGCAGGCAAATAATTAATATTCCTCAAAAAATCGTACATGGCAAGAATCGAGTATTTTTGTTAAAAGTCAATTAGAGGTGTTGGAGAAGATATGAAAAAAGTACATTTTTATGTTTTTCATCGTATACAATTTTGTCCGATTAATACATAGGCGTAGAACTTGATTTTTTAAATAATTGCACCTTTAAAAATTCTACGCCAATGGCAGAAAAGGGGTTTGAGTATGAAATTTGGATTGGGTACTCATTTACTACAAAAAAGTACCCTTGATATCACTCGATTTACTCTCATGGATTTGACAAAGTTTGTATTTTAATAATTATTGTTTATGTTCTAAAATTACTAAAATGCAAATTTCGTCAAAACCATGAGAGTAATCGAGCCTTATCAAAAGTACCTTTTTTAAAGTAAATGAGTTGCGCAATCTAAATTTCATACTCAAACTCCTTTTCTTCCATTAGCGTAGACTTTTTAAAGGTGCAATTATTTAAAAAATCAAGTTCTACGCCTATGTATTATTATCGGACAAAATTTTAATACCATTTTTTTGCCACATAAAACTCTACCAATATACCAAATTTCAGCAAAATCGCATATGCCGTTTTAAATTTATATGGGAAAAACGATTTAAAAATTGTAACTTCAAGGCCCTCTGGAGCCCAAACGAAGCAACTTTGTACTCAGGTAATTTTACTTAAATCGACTTATCTTGGTCTAAGGAATAGGGCGGAGGTAATTTGCCCACAAAATATTTAAAGCTGCTAATCCTATAGGTAATTTGCCCACAGCAAGTAAAAGGTCATCTTAATCCTGTTGGTATTTTGCCCAAATTTATTTCTAACTGAATAAATCATAATAGATATATCTTTCATTTATTATTTTTTATATATTATCGAAAAGTAAAAACACATTATTAATTAAACTAAAAATTATATTAAACACTAATTTTTATTATTATAAAAAAGTAAGTATACATAAGTTATATTATATTTTTTATATATTTATATTTTATTTACATATTTTTCAACTGGGAGGGATAAATGTGATACAAATTTTATATACTCATCTGCTGATTTGCTGCAGATCAAATCGCTGTATAAATTTTTCTAAACACTGAATTTTTTGTTTTACACTTTTGTCTTTGATTTTCTTAGGTATACTTAAGCTTTGTATTGTGACATACGTGTCGATTTGAAAGTCTTTAAGCTTTTCTATAAAAATATATACAGAAGGATGTGTACAGTAGAATGAAGAATTAAACCTTGAATGAAACGACTCACAGGCATTTGTAGTTCTTGTAATTGAAGCTGTTTTTTCTGCCCATATACTTGGAGGAAATGTAGAATTTTCTTCAATATATGTTTCTAATAGGTAATCGGCATACCTATCGAGAACGGCATTTTCTGGTTTACTTGCCATTAAGTCAAACACAAAACAGTCTCCAACTTCATCGGCGTTTAAATATGTCAACCCAAATGATGTTTTAAGCCATTTTCCGGTATCACTGTTAGTTGTATATTCAGTCATTAATCCCACAGACTGAATTTTACGATACCACGCTTGATGTAGATGAAATCGGCAGCCATTGATTACAGTATTAGGCCACATATAAATTAACGCCTTATGAATTGCTATTTCAAAATCAACGAACACTTTAGATGGATTTAAAGCAATACTGTAAGTTTCCAAAATTTTATAATGCAATAACGAAAACAAATGTTTGTATATATCGGTAGATTTGTTTGGTAATAAACAATATACCAGGGGCACATAGTGTCCATTACACAGCCCATGAATGGTAAATAATTGTAGGAAAAACTTTGTACAATACGAAAATGTTCCATCCATATACAAGACGTTCATTTTACACAAAGTACGAATATTTGTCTCACATGTAAATACAATAATATTATTTTCTCTGCTATTTATTAAAAGAAAATGTTCACCTTTACTGGTTTTAAATGTATTAGAATATAAGTCAACTGCATCATGCACTTCTTGTATATTTGTAGGTAATGGACCTGGTAGTATTTTGCGACGACTGTTGTATATAGTTTTTCTTATGTAGGACACATCAATTGTAGTTAGTGACTCTGGTAAATTAGTAGCAAGTACTTTACGGATAATTTTAGAAGGTTTTTCCGAAATATCATCAACTGCTTTTCGCTTACACGAATTAGAAATAATTTTCCTGTTTAATTTCGGTTCATTTGCTTCATGGCTATGAATTAGGTTGCCTCTGGATACTAAAAATTCAGGACCAATTGTATATACAGTGGCATTACAAGCATTTGTTTTTCTTTGGGAGCATCTCCAAGAAACTTCTCCACTTTTCATTTCTCTATCTTTGGCAAACGTAAAATTCTCCAAAAGGAGTACATCTTTCCCGCGTGTGCTTTTAATCAATGTAGCTGACATTATAGAAATAATTATTGTTTATAAACACTCGAATTACAATCATCAACGTATAAAAACTGACTGAAATATAAACAGTAAACACCCAAAGTAAGTACCTATTAGAATTCTTAATAATCAGGTAGGTACCTATTTGTGGGCGGATGTAATTTGCGGGTTTAGGTACCTGAATGCTACTGTGGGCAAAATACCAGTAAGATTAACGCACCCCTTTACTTACACAGGTAGAAAACAGAGATTTGTGGGCAAAAAGGACCCGCCGAAGGAATATGTGGTATGTTTTTGTAAAGACCTTTTACAGACACTCTGTATATCTGATATATCGGATATATATCATTTTTAAAATTTAATTATTTAATTAAAA